AATTTTTAAAAATAAAGAAATATTAGCAAGGGAGTCCAGTATTGTATTGGCCACCCCATAGCAAGACGTTTCTAGGTTCTTTTTCTAACTTCGTTTCACTATGGGAATCGCCTTAGCGTAGTGAAACACCTCACTCTGTTATCAAAGAACCAGGGATTACGTTAAGTAACCCCATTGTTTTACCCTGTCCAAAGACAAGCTTGTCATGTGAGATGGTGATGTTGAAGTAGATGTTAGTGTGACAGTGTTAGCCTGTTAACACATATCCAGCTATGTCTATTGTTTATGAATAAATCTGAAAACCTTTTGATGATATATTCTCCTCTAGCAGAGCTCTGTAGCTTCTCTGGAGTCTTCCATTCGCTGGGCTGATGGTTTCCTGCTGCTGTACTCCATCACACAGCGCTTCAGCTTCCTGGAGGTCCCACAACTCAAGACGCTCATTGACCAAACCAAGCAGAATCTGGGTGGGGAGATAATTTGATCTGTATGAGAAAACGGCTGCTGAAAACTGAACTAACAGTCTGTTCTTCACACAAACATCAGGCCTCTGTTCTGTCTCTTTGATTTACATACACACATAAACACACCCACATATTCACAGATCGAGTGGACGTAGATTCCATGTTTGGTAGTGCCACCCTGTCTTCTGTTAGTAGTGTGCTGACAGAATGACTCCAGACTGCGTGCCATAGGGTCATCATGATGGTTTATTGTCACTTCACTTTGTGTGTCTGTGTGTCAGTGGTTCCCGTGGTGCTGGTCGCCAATAAGGCAGATTTGGAAATCGGCAGGCAGGTGACAACAGACGAAGGACAGAGACTAGCCAAGGATTTAAGGTTTGAGCGCTCATGTTTTCATATGTGCATGGTAATACTGTACAATGCTTTTCTTGTCTTTGTTATACTTGATAATAAAATAACTTTGTCATTGATTAAGAAAAATGTCAGTCCAGTCAAGCTGGGCTGTAATCGTAAGCTGATACTCTTGTACACAACCAGCTGGCAAATCCCAGCTGAAGCTGTTTTAGCCTCCCCATCTTTGCTGTCCATCTGCAAACCACTTTGCAACCCCAGTGCCCCCTTTTATGCTGTTTCTGACTTAATCCACGCCAAATTTGCTGTCACTGATTCATGCTGTGCTCTGAGCTGGAGCTTCTGCTGTTACTCCCTCTTACTTCATGTATAATGTACACATGGGGGGATGGTGAGGTACACAGCATGTAGTCTACTATAAGTTATATGGAAACAAGCTTTTTTTTGACTACATGGTCAATATTTTATTAATGAATTTCACATTTTTGTTACAGAATTAAACATTTATGTATAGTAGTGTATGTATTGGATATCAATTCTGCTCAGCCTGAATTCCTACAAACTCTGAGTGCTAAATAAAGTAAGTAAAAACTATTTCCTTGCATGCTAACTAAATGAGCCATTGATTTCGTTCTGTGTGTTTAGGTGTGGTTTCAGAGAGTTGTCTGTGGCTGAAGCAGTCCTAGCAGTGGAAGCAGCAGTGCTTCAGCTCATCAGGTTTGTTTCTTCTGTGTTTTGTCAGACATGTGATATCCATGCTAGTCAGATTTTAAGCGTGTTTTCAGTGTTTCTACTATGAATGCAACATTTTTATTAATTAAATATACTCAAAACAACAGTCAGTGCTGCTCCTGATGGACTGCGCCCTGTCATACTGCAATAAACAAAGGTGGTACAAAAGATTTACTTATAGATGATGATAGGAAAGTTCCTGAACGATACTGGAAAGCAAAAACAATAATTAGATATCTCTCTTGGGTGTACTATTAGAGCCCAGAGGATTTTATGATTCTTTTTCATGTGCTGTTTGATTGTGTGTGTATGTGTGTGTGTGTGTGCCACAGGTTGGTGTTGGATCAGCAGCGCCCTCTGCCTGAACGTCGCTCCTACATGTTGACTGTTCGTCACGCTCTGACCAGGAAACTGACCAGATCTAAGACCATGCAGTGGTGACAACAGCAAACAAACCCCCATGGGAAAAAACTGTAGTGTATAATGGGTTGTTTGTTTGTTTGTTTTTTACTTTAGTTCTTTTAGTGTTAGATATCTCCCATATCTCACATCCAGATTGAGAGTTATCATGCAACGTCTGGGTTTCTGGATTTATGGGTGATGAGACCAGGATTTAAAAAATATAAACTCACCAGACACTTTTTATTAGTTATGCCTTGATACTACTGGGTTGGAGTCTTTTTTTTGTCTTCAAAAATGTCTTAATTCTTCATAGCATACATTCAAAAAGCTACTGGAAGCATCCTTCACTGACTCTTTTGATCCATTAACATGACAGCATCACAGTTGCAGCAAATTTGTCAACTCTGTGAATCTGTTGGATTGAGATCTGATGACTGTGGAGACCATTTGAGTACAGTAAACTCAATGCCATGTTAAGGAAACCAGTTTGAGATGATCTGAGCTCTGTCACACATCATGTGTTATGCTGCTATCAGAAAATGAGTTCAGCGTGGTCATAAAGGCACGGAAATGGTTAGCAGCAACTAAGGTCTGCTGTGGCATTTAAATAATACATAAAAGAAATATTGTTCACCCATTAAACTACCACTGAATTATCGGTACAAGGCAGAATGTACATGTACCTTTTCAACATACTTTCATGTTAATTGAGCCAAATCAATATTCATCAGAACAGGTAACATTTGTCCAGTTTTTTGTTTTGTTTTTTTTTGAGTCTGTGCAAATTGTAGCCTCGGTGTTGCTGCTGTAGCCCATCTGCTTTGTGAATTCAGAGTTGTAAAAAACAGTTATTCAGTTGACTTCCTGTAAACTCAAATCAGTAAAATCGCGTTTCTTTCCCATTTTGATCATGAGATCAAAATGCCCATGTGTAGGCATGTACACAATCGGCTAATCACATGAGTTGCTGCAATACACTTGAGTGGTGTCTGAACTGACTGCTAGAAAGCCTACGACTCAGTGCCCCACATATGGATACTTGTAAAGGCTAATAGTACACTAATAACATTTATTCAGAACTTAATGGGACTGTGGAAGACAACAGCTCCAATGCACCTACTTCTGTTCTGCATAGGCCTCAACCACATAAGCCAGCTCATCACTGAGAGTGGATCCAGTTATAGATTCAGGAGTGGAGTGACTGTGAGCTACCACCTGCAAATGGATGATTATTACGTTGCATCCCAGGAGGGATTGAAACAATAACTCACTGATCTATCTAACGGGGATCTACAACGAGAACATCAGGATTTGATTTGGACTGGATAAATGTGGTCGAAGGGTTGAAAAGAGAGGAGAAGTGATCCAGACTGAATGGGTGGAGCTACCAGAAGGGAGGATAGCAGATATACAGGATATTTACAACTAAATGGGTATCCCAAAGGCCAATGGAAGCAATGATAAAGATGCGCAAAGGTTAGCCACAGTCAAATACCTCGAAAAGGTAAGACAGGCCGTGAGAAACCAGCAGAATCCAAGCCATCATTCATCAGATACTCAGTTGGAATCTGGCCACCAGAGGAGATGGATGCCACTTAAGTGAAGACACAAAAGCATTTCACAACACAGAGAAGTCTCCCTCTAATGTCCAGCCTGAGGCAATAAAGAAAGAGGGAAAGAGATGATTAGAAAGTGTCAGCATCCATAAATACATCTGAAACATCCACCTGAGATGAGCTACTCCAAGAAAGCCTGAGGCAGCTGAAGACAGATGGTAATGAAGTAAAGGAGGAGGAATTGTCATAGATGACCAAGCCCTGCATGGGATGTACCATTGACAGATTAAGGAAGTAGGTACCAGTGGCTTAAAGTACAGCAGAGCGGCTCTGATCATGGCAGCACAAGAACAGGCCTCAGAAGAAAGATCCATCGAGTCAAAAATCTACCAGATCTGGACGGACCCAAGCTGCAGACTGCGCAAAGGTGCCCTGAAGACTATCCTGCATAAAGTAGCAGAATGTAAGAACCATGAACACTGACACACCAAGTGGCTGGGATAGTGTACAGGAACATGTCTGCCCCATATGGACCAGAAGTCCCCAAATCCTTATGGGAGCCACCCCCAAAGGTAGTTGAGAACAACAGGGCTAAGGTCCTGTGGGACAAACGGCTACTGGTCAACCAACCAGACACAATGATGGTTGACAAGGAGCAGAAGACCACAACTGTGATAGATGTGGCAATCTATCAGCAACATCGGGAAAAAGGAGCATGAGATAATAGAGAAGTACCAACTGGAGCAGATGTGGAAGGTAAAGTCCAAAGTGGTCCCAGTGGTTATAGGCATTAGGAGTGGCTCTAGAGATAATCAGATTGAACTTTAGATACCCTGGAATGATGTAGGATGACTGAAAACACAAATACAACATGTTAATGTTATTAGTCTGGTATGTATGTTTACTAGGTGCAAACACAAGCGTTTGCATTTATTTTCTATTCACAAAAAACATGTTGTTGTTTTTTAAAATATGTTCCACCCACCAGCAGGGGGCGGTACAATCATTTGGTTTGGTGCAGACATCATGCACAAACATTACATTTTTAACCACCCACTTTGGTGTGGAAGGAGTTGAGTGACCCCCACAAAGACCTGACCTCAAGCCCTTTACGGGGTTTTTTGTCAGTAAATTGTAAAATCTTGTGGAAAAAACTTCCCTGAAAAGAGAAAGACTAGCATAGCAGAAGATAATGCCAATATCTTTGCCACAGGAAGACTGAAAATCACATATTTATTTTTACAAGGTCATTTTTGTGCTTTAATGTTTTCATTTATAATAATTTCATCAACACTGGAATCCTTCTAGTCAGCAGAGTTCATCAGTGTGTGAGAAACACTTTGACTTGGCTTTGTTGTTGGAGTGAGTGGATGATGTAACAGTGTGTGAAGAATGAGGCTGGCTTTCATTACAGTCTTGGCATTACTCGACCATGTCTCTGTGCTTTTTCCTATGCATCTCCCCTTTTGTCTGAACTTCTGAACTTTATGATCAGCGAGAGACATCTAAAAAAAGGCAGACGGTGCAAAGCAAGACTGTGAGAGACAGAAAATAAGTCAGACTCCAACAGGGAGGAAAAATACTGGACTTCTTACAGACTTCACTGCCCATACTCACCAATCTATCTCCGGCTATTCGTACAGACATAATGGAAAATTGGATATGTGCTTGCTCTCCATCACTCCGCTCTGTCCACCCTGTGACCATCAACTGCTCCACCCAGTTGCCACCAACAAGCAGCCACAGAACCCCATACGCTTTATATATAAACACAGAGATCAACATCTTCAGAGAATTACAGATCTTAGCTTTAAAGTTATAATTAGATTTTCTTCTCATAAACCCTCAGTGTTATGCTGTTTACAGTGAAAAGATATTCAGTTAATGATCATTCTAGGGGC